CGACGCTGGATACTACGTCGTGGCCTTCGACCAGCGGGGCTACGGCCGCACCACCGGCTGGGACGGCTCCTGCTCCCCGTTCGCCAAAACAAACCAGACCGAGTTCACCATCACCAACCTCGTCCGCGACGTCGTGATCCTCGTGCACGCCCTGGGCTACCGCGCGGTCAAGTGCATCGTAGGCCACGACTTCGGCGCCGTCACGGCCTCGATGTGCGCCTGGATGCGGCCCGACCTCTTCCACAGCGTCGTCCTCATGTCGCACCCCTTCAAAGCGCACCCGGGGCTCCCCTTCGACCTCCTCCACGGCGAGCCCGCCAATCCCCCGCCACCCATCGACATCCAAAAGGACCTCGCGATGCTGCCAGAGCCGAGGAAGCACTACAAGTGGTACAACGCCACCTCCACCGCCGCCCTGCACTGGTACGCCCCGAACCAGGGACTCGCCGCCTTCCTGCGCGGCTACTGGCACGTCAAGAGCGCCGACTGGGCAGGCAACAACCCGCACCCGCTGGCGGCATGGAGCGCCGCCGAACTCGCAAAGATGCCGCTCTACTACATCATGCCCTTCGCCAAGTCGATGCCCGAGACCATCGAGCTGATGATGCGCGGCGAGGACCCGGACAAGACCAAGCGCTGGCTGTCCGACGAGGCCCTCGACGTCTACGTGCAGGAGTGGCGGCGGACGGGCTTCCAGGGCGGGTTGAACTGGTACCGCACCATGACGGACCCGGGGATGAAGAAAGACATCGATTTGTTCGCCGGGAGGAAGATCGAATGTCCGTGCGTTTTTATATCCGGCGCGAAGGACTGGGGTAATTACCAGGAGCCTGGCGCGCTGGAGGGGTTTCCCGAGACGTGCGTGCAGTTCAGGGGCGTGCGGATCATCGAAGGCGCGGGGCATTGGCCGCAGCAGGAGCAGCCTGAGACTGTGGTGGGGGAGATTCTGGGGTTTTTGGGCGGGTTGTAGACAGTCTTGACTCGTCGCAAAACACACCTGCCGTTGAAACTGTCATCTGATGAGAAGGGCGAGAAGATGGGGTGGGTTGGTTTAGGGGGTATAGGAATGATTACAAACACACCCCACCCTATCTAACAGCTCAACCACGACCACAGTAAAGCATTAAAACAAAGGAATTTGTAAAGCATTATAAGTCCTACCCACCCCTCATATCCAGGCAGACTAATCTCCCCTACCCACGTCCTACCCTTTTCCACTCCCCTTATCCCTCGCCTTCTTGTCCCCCGCCTCTCCACTTGATTGATCCACCCAACCTCCTTCTCCTAGTGACAATATACAATATACAATACAACACACAACCCAGCCTCTACCTCTACCTCTACCTACACAGCCGCCGCCGCCGTCTTCCATTTTCCTTTCGCAAGTACGTTTATAAAATCTAGCACTGGCATGTTTCCTTTCTAGGGGTTAGGCATGAACACTAGCGATGCAGTAGTACGTCTAGATAGATAGATAGTGGGCGTGGTATTTGGTTGCTTTATGTTGAGGGAAGCGAAAGGGAAAAGGGGAGGGGGGAGTATGTACGTAGCTACGATTCTATCTACCGAGTTACCTAGTAATAGCTGTCTACGTCAGGCTCTGCGCCTCGGTGTTCGGTACGCGCTCCACGCTGCGACACAGTAACGTCCCTGCGTGCGGGGAAGAGGCTAGACAACCCCACGAAAATACTCACAGGCTGCATGGGATTGGAAAAGTGCGTGGCTGCTGTGCTGCCTTCTCTTGGGATCTCTTGCCTGGGGTGTAACGTATGGGCCAGACGGCCGAGTGTGGCGGCGAAGACTTTGCCCTTGGATGGGATGGATAAGCGCTGCAACATGCTTAAGGTACTAACTTTGGCTGCTGGGTCTGGTGTAGTGGCGGGTCCCGAGGTGGCTGCTACAGCTGCTGACGAAGGTGCTGTCGCTGTTGTGTTTCTTGAAGTACTGGATCCAGCTTGGCTGTCGTACCAGCTGCGGTATCGCGCCGAGCGCCGGGGTGTTGCCGCTCACTTTGAGCAGGTTTTGCTAGCAAAAATGAAGGAGCAGGGAACCTCTGTGGCTAGTATCCTCAAAACGTGTACACAGACACGACATACCAAGCAAATCCTTCATTTGGGCGTTCGGCAAGCGGTCGAAATCGTCAAGATGAGTGGAGCTGGCGGGCAGTTGCTGTGGAGGCGATCTGGGTGCGTTGGAGGGAGTGGAGCGACGGGAGGCGGGAGTGTTGGCGGTGTGGGTGACGGAAACTCAGGGATGGGTGCGTTGGAACACGGGAAGAGAGCTCCAGCGCCTCGATGCGGGATGAGTCGCAGTCTACTGGCTTTCAAAGTGAGGAATTGGAGAGTGAGAAGTATCGTGGTGGAAGTGAAGCGGGTTGTTCTGCTAGAGAAAAAGGTGGGGCAGTAGCGTATATACTATAATTAGGAAGAAAAGGGAATATCTCACTTTAATCTTATAGCACTCCATAGTACTTTATAGTATTAACTTACTATACTTACTAGTATTATAGTAAAAGTAAAGTTATTTATCTTACTAATTGAAAAAGTACGGCAGTAGTATACGTATTACAATCAGTAAGAGAAAAGAATATCTCTTATTCTCGCAGCGTTTGCTTTCTAGACTCACTAATACGCTAGTCTTCTTAGCACCTGCCGCTACTTCCTGTTCTTGCGCTCTTCCTTTCTCCACGTCCGTAGCACTCTACTTGCTTCGCTTCCACCATGGCGTCGCCCTCGTGCTCTGAGAACCCCCCGCCACGGGCAAAGATCGGCGCCAAATTCTCGAGAGGTCTTACGAAGCTCGCAGAGAACCGGGAGAAGATGGCGTTGGTTGGAAAGCGCGAAGAAGTCAAGGTTCGTCGATGGCGCACAGTCCTAGGAAAAAATACTAAGTACAATTGGCCTGGGGTAACACACTACACTATTCCAAGTACAATCTGCCTACGTATTGCCACCCTGGGGTAACACACTGCTGAGAAATCTGGCCTACTACTATACCGAGTCCAGTGAAACACTAACAGGCACAAACTGAAGACGAGACCCCAAGGTGGTCGGACATCACGTTGGTCTACGTCAAGGGTGGGATCGCTACCCAGATGACTGAGATACCAGAAGGGCACCGGAACCCGGACACGGAGAAGGGCGACCGAGTGGACCCCACCCGAATATTCATCTTTCTTCCCACAAGGGCGGAGCGTCTCGAGTTCGATCTGTCGGTGATCCTGTTAGACCTAGGTGTGAACCGAGGCCTTTTCGTCAAGTCTATCGACGAGATATTGGCGGGCGGTGATGGCGGAACGCATGTCGAAACACACCCTGACATTGCTAAGCAGCCGGTAGGTTGACAAAACTAATATGTTCTAGATTTTCGTTGCTGCCACGCAAGCTGGAACTTTACTTCTGAGTAAGGACAGAGTTCCTGTATTGAGTTTTGCCGCGGCTTGCTAAAGCGCGCGAAGTATCACATTTGACTTCTGAATAAGGTTGTAAATGCAATCTTTTACTGAAAACCCGAGATTACTATGTCTTAGCGTCAGCTTCTTTGAAAGAACCACATAATATTCTCTGAGGCGCACGGCTATTATCGGGGTCTGGAGGTTTGAGGGTACTAAGATTGCTTAGGCTCTCGCAGGACACAAGTCTATTCCAGGCTCGCTGATCTATTACGATAACGTCGGATATGGGGACCTAGACATCGACAACTTCCACCTGCGAAAGGAGGACGGGACAGTACTCACTGGCAACGAGATGAGTCGAGACGAGTTTCGTGGGTTCCTCTCTCAAAAGAACATGTCTCGACTCGAGCCGGATACTGCCGAAGGCGCTCCAAAGAATCCCAAGGAGCATATCAACGATACGGCGGATGAGCGGCAAAAGGCATCAGAGGAGTACACAAGGATGGAGCTAGAGCTCAACGAGATCCACAACGAAATCGAAGCTAAGCGGGTTGAGATGCAGGAGAATCAGGCGATCCCACCGCACGAAATCATTCCGCACGGCTTTTCCGTCCGCAAGGGCGCCCAATACGCCGAGCTCGCACTCCGATACGACCTGGATGGTTTGGTGGCGAGGCTGCAAGAGCATCTGAAACATCGCAAAGCAACCTACAGGGCCGTCAGGCGTTGTGAAAGAAGGAATGACACAATCGAAGCGACCGTTCGGAGGAAGAGGCATCCCTTATCTACCCAAACCAGCACAGGATGCCGCCGTGCCACGCCTCGACAGTACACTGGCCGAGGAAGACCTGCAAGAGACGATGACGATGACGAGGCTTCAGACGACGGCGATTGAGTTTATGTGTAGGTGATCCTCGCGCTAGGCCTTGTTTGTATTAGCCTGGCGCGTTGCCTTCTTGGTCAGTCAGGTTCTCGGGTGCACGTGGGCACCGGCGATGCAATATCACGTTCAGATACTAGGTACTCATGGTAGCTCAAGTTACCCATGGGCCAACTATCAAAGAATTCCACCTGTGGAGCAGCTTACATCTGGTTTGACCAACTATATGAGAGTCAGGTTAACACAGGGAATGCATGTGCTTATATTACTTTCTTGGTCCCTCTGTGCTTGACAAAGCACTATGATTGTTTGTTATTTGCAAAAGCGCGCAAAGAGTTAACAGTGAATCGGCTAGTATGAACCCAGTGGGATTGCCTATGCAAGCAACTGTACAGTGCGATGTGGCCTGACAATACAAACATTCAAAGACAACGTGAACGTACTCCTGAGCTTGGAATTCGATAAGGTGTTGGCTTGGAAATGTGCCGTGTCTAACGTTGCTGGGGACATGATGGAATCGTGGTGTTCTGCAACGTGGGAAAGACGTGGTGGGGCGACGGGTCGGCTATTCGGGCAGAGCTGGAAGATCCACCCGCGCTATCGACACATCGGTTGGCGAGACTGTTCTCACTCCCGCCTCATCATTTTGTTCACTAGCAATATATATTTCCAAAATGGCAGTTTCAACATCCAACATCTGAACATTAAACGTTCAGTCATCGGACCGCATCTTTGGTCCAGCGGTAGGATAATCGCCTTCCACACCACCAGGTTTAATTTCCTCAGCGGTCAGCAAGCGATTGGCTCGGGTTCGACTCCCGGAAGATGCAATTCTTTTTTGTCTTTTTGTCCATCGATGTGGCGAATGGGGGCGTTCGCGCTGCGTTGCGGGTTGCGCACGACAGTGACCCCGCATACGCGCAAAACACCATTTTTGCGCACATCCACACGATACTACCTCATGAACACCGATTTACAGTCGATCAAGTGCGGTCGCGTCGCGGCGACTGACAATATTGAAGACACGCGTCCTTCCCTGAGGACTGCACGGTCAACCACTCACAAACATCACACCACGGCCATCTGTCTACAAAACCGACCCCGCACCTGAGCATGTCGGTCTCATTTCGAAACTTGATCCCATTCCGCCCGCGGCACGGGCCCTTTTCAGTCCAGAACGGCGACGCATAGAGGCATCATCCGGATTCATGTGACGAAACTTGCACGCGATGCCACCCAAAAGTTGCACACAAACCTTGATTCCCAGGCAGCAGCCTCGCCAACGCGTCCCCGATTGGCGAGCCCTGTATTTGGCCCCAGGGCCCGTCGGGTTCTAGGTTACTCGTCGCGGCTGGATGCGCTGTCGGTGCAGACGACAAGCCCGCTAGGGCTGCACATCTTGGAGCGGGGAGTCGGTGTACTGGGCTGTCGAAGGCGAGTCCTGCGCGCTGTTTGCGTGGGCGGGCCGCCCTGTGTGCGAGGCGATTGGTCGGTGACTGTTCGTGCTCACCGTATGCCTCGCGGGAGGGATATGCGAGGACATGCGCCAAGCGTGGGACTGTGTCTTGTTATGTCCTGTGAGCAGGAAGAAAACAGAGATACATAAGCCAGGAGGCGGCACATCTGTCCTGGAGCCTGTTCCTCCGCTATCGCGCCGCTATTTCAACACGTCTCGAGCCCCGACTTTGACAGCTGCATCGCTCAGAAGCTGAACATCCCACCACCACTTGTCCCAGACGAACTGCCACCTATGCCGTCCCACAACAACTTCCAGCCCCCGCCGCCCATCCGCACCGCAACCAGCGGCTCGCAGAAGTCCCACTCCTCCGGCACCGCATCCCCAGACATGCACTCCCCCACATCGACGTACTCGCGCTCGCCCACCAGCCCCGGTGAATACTCGTTCTTCAGCGCCATCAGCGCAAAGATGGGTGGCCGCTCGCGCAGCCGGACCCGCGCCGCGTCCCCAGAGCAGGCCACCCCCACCGCGCATCCAACAACGCCCACATACGCCACGCAGCACCCAAAGCAGCCCCACCACGCCTCCTCCGCCAGCCAGGGCTCCATCGGGTCGTCGACTGCGAAGGCACCACGACCGACGATGCCGACGCCGTCGCGACGCAGCACGGGCAACAGCGACATGTGGCGCGGGCGGCACTCCAACTCCTGGCTCTTCAACGACTTCTCCTTCACCGAGACGGCGAGCAAGGCGTTCAAGCGCAGCTCGTGAGGGGTCCTCTGCGCGGCGGTCTGTGACTGTCTTGCGCCTTGGCCAGTAGCTGCTGGCTAGCTTCACACTCGCTGGATTGGGTGTCCGGTGGCCTACGACTCGTTATGGCATTGATGATGATGATGATGATGATGATGACGATGGACTGGTAATCAGGTTGCGTGGTTTGGTGGTTTGCACCATGCCCGCCGGGTGCAGAGCAGTGGCTTCTTCTTTCGCTGGTTTTGTTGAACATGCACAGCCTAACTTTGCATTCGCTATACAGTGTATATTAGTACAGAGTAATTGCAAATGATGCCGCTTCTACGTTGCATCGTAACCTCTCGTGTGCTGAAAATAATTCTCGGGTTGATGTGTGATCGCGCGCCCAGATAGGTATCTCGACGGCGCATTCGCAATATGCGAAGCGTAGTCCCATCTTAACGTAGGTCGATGCATTATGGTCCTTGGGGAGTAGGAGGAATGAAGTGAGGTCGGAAAGTCGCGCCATCTCGATCGAACCCACATTTGCACTGCCCCCTTACTAATCTGGCGCGAGCTTCCGTACGCACACCGGACTAGATGTGCTGTCTGCATCGTCGTAGGTATTTGCCGACTTGTATGCAATGTCACTAGAACAAAAAACTCGGAAGTGCGCAAAGCTGAGAAAGTTACCTTTAGTACAAATCCGCTGCGTTGAGAACGTCTATTCAACGGGATAGTCTGCTCTGAAGTCACGGCAGGCTTCGTGAGTACTGCTCCGAAGATTTGGAAGCAGGTCTATCCAGTAGTTTGTATTACACCACTAGTTTCCTTCGTGTTCTTAACGAGTGGTCCGATAATGAAGACGGTGGCCATGTTTGCCAGGAGTGGCTACAACCGCCTGCCGGATTGTCGGGTATGTGAGAAGAACATTATCATTGCTCATTTCTCAATTGGTGGTTTATTCCGAGTAAGATGAATATGTTCTTGGGATACGGATCGCACCTTTCCCAATACCCATTAAACAAGTCGTTATATAAGCCCTTCTAGCATCTTCAATTCTTTGCCTCGTGGCTCTGTCGGCAAAATTGCAACCGTTGCGATGTCGTACGAAATCTGTCCAGCACATGAATCGTTCTCAATCACAGCAGTATTCGCAACTTAACCCGTACCCGATAGAGGCAGCTCTAGAGGGGAATAGTTAGTCACTCTGTTGATCGTCGGACGGTCCAACTACGCATCAAACGTCTGTACGCTAGACATCGATCCCATGCGTAGAAGTAGTGGTCACTGCACACAGTGGAGAGATTTAGATGACTCACTCTCGCCAATCCATTGGCATGTCAGCCTCTTTAAATATCTTCTTAATCTCCTTATACGATGTTGGTGCACCGCTATAAAGTGATAGTAGGTAGAAGCCGCCTAATTATTACTATCGCAGTTTCCCAATTCGAGAAGTATCCCGCCTAGCAAGCTTTTACCACGACTTCTTGCAAAATACTATCAAGCAACTTTTTATAGGTAATATCTACCGTACTTTCTTTCGTCGCCAGCCCTATAAGGCCCTACATCCTCTCCAGGCGTACTAAAGATTCCAGACAACTATATATATCGATGAACACGTATAGCGGAACTTCTCTACTCCAGTTAGATTTAGTGCTAAATATATATGCCGCTAGACTTTAGGTGATATATAGTAAGTCTATTGAGACGGGCCGAGACACGAGGTCCTTTAATGTGTGATCGAGCGCGTTCCAGTCGAGACAGGTGTTCTCACAAACAATACACAAGTTTCTCGCGCAGATGATTTCTTGGACAATCCACACACGCGACCAGTATGTAGCGGTGCAGAATGAAAGAAGATTTGCGTGTGTTGTTGACCCCCTGGAGAGTTGGGGAACGACCCCGCTCGTCGATTGCTGAATGAATGCCATGGTCTCGTTGCGAACATGTACGTTCCCGAGCCAAATCATCACTCGCGAGGCGTTCGTGTATATCCCTCTCATCAACGGGATCTGGCCGCTCTTCTTTGAGTCGTTGCTCTGGTTGATGCAAAGGGCGTCAATCCAGTATCGGAAATTTACTTCATCTCTGCTGATGCGCTGAAGAAATCCGTAGAGGCTCCGGCCGACTGGAAGGTCGGTATCCATTAATCGGATTTTGGGGAAGTCTTCACCGCTGTCCTCGCCGTCCTCGCAGATATCTCCGCCCTCATCATAGCCATCGCCACTCCCATCCTCATCGCTGCCCTTACATACATCCCCACGACCAGGCTTCCAAGTATACGACAAAGCCCTATACCCAAAACCCCACGAACAGTAACCACCTCAAACGAACACCCCATCCCATACATCTCACCGCAGCGCCGAACCCACAGCAACCTGCTTTCCCCAAGAGGCCGGGAAAACCGGGCTCGCTCATATGGTCCTGTCATGTCCGGTACCGGATATGTGCGGGGAGTCGTTTGGTAAAGTAAAGTAGCTATGTACTGTCTATGAAGGTTGGAAAGGATGAGGGCGGGAAGTAGAGCTGTGGTGGCACGCTTCGTGGGTTCGATTGGGGGCTGCGCCACGGTCGTGGTTGCCTTGTCATACAACGCACTGAGTTTCCATCGTTGATTTGAACATGTTGCATTACTCAGCAGAACAGCGAGGGGAGTAAGTATCCCATCCCATCCCATCCCATCTAGCCAGGGACGCAAAAATGTACACAGCGAACCCTGCGTGCCCTTTACTTCCTTTCTCTCCACCACCCTCCACGCGCCATATCGCGGTATGAGCAGCACCGCCCTTGGCCCCACCTCCCCCCGTAGCTCAAATAGCAAAAGAAAAGAGTCATATACAAAAAGAAGCTGGATATCTCGCGCCCAAACGCCCGCTCAAAACGCCCGCCCGGTCCCCATCCAATTCCAATTCCAAATCGACCGCCGAAAACTGCCCGAGCTGGTCCCACGCTCACAACCACGTCACCCAGCTCGCCGCGACGAGCACCAGCGGCGCGAGCAGCGAGACGTAGGGGTTGAAGTGTATGTTGAGGGGAGCGGCGCCGGGAGTGGTCGTGTATACCACCTGGAAGCCAATCTGCTCGCCGGGCTGCGTCGAGTTGAAGCAGTTTGTGTTGTTGACGTTTGGGATCTCCGGGTCGCCGTCTTCGGCGAAGGTGATGTCTGCGCACTGTTTCTGTTAGCATTTGTATGATACGCTTTCCTCCATTCACGTATTAAAAAAAAGGAGGATGGCAAGGGCTCTACGCACGTTGTACAAACTCGCTCCATGCTGCGCCAGCTCGATAACCTGGATTGTCGCGTTGTCGCCCACCTTGGGCGTGTAGTTCGCCGGCAGCGGGACCTGCGGCAGACAGAATGTGCCGTTGTACTGCACGTTTGAGGGGCCCGTGATGCTGAAGACTGGCACCGCGGAGTGGGAGTAGTTCAGCGGCTCGTTGCCGTAGCCCATGTTGATGTAGAACTGCGCGGAGGCGTGACCGGGGAACCATCCGGGCTGCAGGCTGACGGCGCCGCCAGAGAGGGGCCATTTTGTGCGGTTGGTCGACATGGGCATGCCGCCGCCTGGGAGGGTTAGCTATATTCTGGACTGTAGGTGTGTGTGGATATGAGGGTTTGATGTGTTGGTGGGACTT